TGAATTACATAAAAAGAAAATAAATTTTTTATTTTTTTATGGTCCGACATTAGATAAAAAATTATTTTTAAAAAAAAATTCGTAACGGTCGATCAATTTTACGAGATCAATGATCTCAATTATAAATTTCGATCATAAATTTTGATTGGTTACTGGATTTGACGATCAAAATGCCGATCGAACAACTTTGAAATGGCCTATTGTTCTCGGTTTATTTACGTGATTTTTTTTCAGTAATTGTGATCTTATACTTCTTTCATAACCTGTAAACCCGTTACTTGTTTAGATTACTCTAAGCTTTTTTGACTTAGCAACGTGAGGTAGGTTTTATAAATCTTTTATTTCTTAGAATTTTATCGATAGTTTTGTAAGAAAGAAAGACGCGTCTGCGGTAGACCGTGATCTATCGGAAGCCAGTAAATGGCAAGTCATCGTCCAGTGGGTGGCCGGCTGATTTCTGGATACAGAGTTATTTGGTGTCTGTTGTGCACACAAGGCGTCTGCGGTAGACTTTGATCTATCGGAAGCCAATAATTGGCAAGTCATCGTCCAGTGGGTGGCCGGCCTTGAGTAAACAACAGCACACTTCAACTGTTATTTATTAAATTTGATCAAACTAGATGCACTCATTCTTTTTGTTTAATTTCCATGCATCGAGATATCGAAAATGAAGCATTCACGCGTGAACTCCTTGAAGCAACGCAATATATATTGGATGATTTCTTGTAATAATCCCATTCCTATAGAATTTTTTCGCTTTATACAACCGACACATAAAGCCCGTGCGATCGAAAAGTATGGAAAAACTCTTGATCAGGCAATCAACCTCTGTAAGGATTCGGACAAACTTTCGAAACTAAAAAACATCAAAGAAAGCGTTAATGTACGTGATCAAATGTTTTGTTTAAAGCATATTGGAAAGCAATCTTATAACATCTGCTTTTTTCACAAAATAGTGTAATTCGGATTGGAATGTGTGGTTGGTGGAGAAAAGAGCGGTATGTTTAATCATAAACTTTAATAAGGTTCGTGGATAATCATGATATATATATATATTTATTCAGAGGTCGATTCGTGACGAGGTTTACGGGACAAATACTGAAGTTCATAGAGAATTAAACGCGGTCGTCAGAAAAAGGGTAATAGTGTCGAACGAAGAAAGTTTGCGAAAACGACAAAAACATTTGGATGGTAAGTTAAATTTGCAATTTTTTACGAAACATTTATGTAGGTCCTTATAAGCAATTATCAATTAAAGAGCAAAAAGACGACGAAGATGCATATTCATCTAATGATGCGTCATCTTCCCTTACGAACAAGTCTTGTTCACATACATTTGAGGTATATTGTTGATTGTACAATATTTAGTCACTTTAACTGCCTTTTTAGTTATGGATATTTTGTTTTCTTAGTATGGGGAGAATTCTAAAAGGACATTCAGAAATCGTACACCTTTAGTTTACATTAAAAATTTGAATGAAACTGACTTTTCAGAGTCGGATCACGAAGAGAAGGTAATTAGTACCGATGTAAGTGATAACATATGGATTAGTATTCAAAGATATCTGTGTAAATTTTAACAGGAGATCGATAAAAGAAAACGATATGAATCAGATTACGATAGTGACGTAAGTTGTTATTGTATTGATTGATTGTTATCCGATACGCTCAAGCAATATGTTTGCTATTAGTATGAACCAAGGAATAACTATTCTATTTCCTCCAATTCGGACCATAATCAGAAAAAAAAGGTAGGCATTATCATTAATACCATTGCAAAAAGCGATGACATGAAATCAATATGAAAGACATTGTAATTTCAGATGAAGAGCAATAAAGGAAAACAACCGGAATCAAAAGAAAGAGTGAAACATGGGATATATGATAATAAAAGTGTAAGTAGCATTGAATTTGATTTTTATTTGATTTCTTCGGAGATGTTTCTTTAATTTTTATTTTTTTATCGGCGCTTGTATTAAATACTAATTCGTTGCCCATTTCTCAACCATCACTAATTCAGGCCAGTTCCTTAAATTCTACACCAAACAATGTAACAACATCACAAGATTTATCAATGTTTGTGAACCAAGAACAATTACCGACTGTGCTAATTATGAAACCTACCACTCAAATTCCGAAGACACCATCATCAAGGCCTAACATAAATAATGCTAATACACAAATTACTCCTCAAAAGTCAGTGCTTTTTCAGAAATCCGTGACGTATCTACAAAATCATATTAAGATGAATGTAAATGATCAAGGAATGATTATAAAAGATAATCATGAATCAGTAGACATTTCTAGTACAATCCGCAATTGGCTTGTAACAGCATTATCAGTAAGTTACCATTAATTTCTTTCAGACGTTAGTGATTGTAAACTGTATTAATTAAAATTTCTTTATTCTAGTCATCAAACGAAGAGTTCATAAAAGCTATTACGGCCCCTTTAAGCATAGAAGCAAGCAAAAAAGATCATAAATTTCGTCAAATTTGCGAATTTGTTCTTTACGATTTGTATGTATATCACAAACCATATTTTTTTTCTGACATTACAAATTCTACTAACATGCTTGTCATTTTATATTGATTCAAATAATTAGTTATTTCACGACAAAGGAAGGCTCTTTAAAACGGAACATTGGTGAACGTACATTTATCGTCGAAAGGATTGTCCCCTTGTTCAAAGCAATCCAATCGGTATATAGAGAGTACAATTTTCATTGGATCGAAACGGAATTAGATTGCATGAGAGAAGTGAAAAAACTATTTCCTCAATTTGATTTGACCATTAACCAAGCCGATGGTTTGGGGATAAGGAATTCGAGCAACAAGGAGATTCTTTTCATTGAGGTATCGGGTGGTCCTGAAAGTACCGATTCAAAACACGCGAAGGAAGATGCAGAAAAGCTTCTCAAGGAAGCTGTATTTGGACTTGTGTCTTTATTAAGAAATCATTTAGATAAAAGTGCAGAAATATCAAAACATTTGTACACATTCACAATACAGAGTATAGGTAATTTACTACGCTACTTAAACAATTTAAATATATAAAATCTTACATAAATTATTTGTTAGGAGACCGGTTAACATTGAGTAAACTGTGCCTTATAAATAAACATTGTTACTCATTTTCGCAGATCAAGTCTGCAAGATTACCTTTCGGATTTATTGATATAGCGGATTTTTTGGAAGTCTTTGAACTTCTTTATATTATAGTAGTAAGTATTTTAATATGTTAAATATGCAATTATGTTTTTATATGAGCTTCAATATAACGTTTATACCTATTTTTCAGAGCGAGCTAGAAATTCAAACAGGAGTTATAAATAAATTAAAGTTATCCAAATCAGTTAATGATATCAATGTACCAAAAATTCGTGACTGGATTTGGCTTCCAGATTCAGTTTCTGCGTGGGAATGTAAAGACTCCAACACTCATCATTAATTATTCAATAAAGATGATCCAAAATTTGCAATTATTAATAGATTAAATCTTTTTTTTGAAATAAAAATAACGTGCGCGTTACAATTCGTAACGCCGGTCACTGGGGGAAAAAAATTCTCGATCATTTGTGGCTGATATCAAAACATTGAAATAAATCCCAGAAAAAATACACGTCTATTCGCTTTATTGTGACAAATAAATTTGTATATGATACCAGGTACATGATGCCGTAATAAAAATATATGAATTTACTTTCAGGTTCATCGCATGCTTAAATTTTATTGATTCCCTCAATGTATAATAAGAAAATAGCAGAAGCAGAGGCTGAAATAAAATGCCTTCAATTGGAAATTAAAATCTCTTGCATTCAGAAAAAGATAAATAGGCATCAGTATCCTATGATCATATTATGCAAATGGCTTTGAAGTTTATAAAGAAAAAAGCAAACCATGTTCATTGACTATTCTATTAATATTTATAAAAAAAAAATATAAAAACGGAGAAAGACAATATCTTTTGATAAAACAAATATTTAATACATTTTAACTAAATCTTTAATCTTATTCATATAACTTATTCATGCATAAATTCATTATATATTATAATAAATTGATTTATTTTTTTGTTACTATATTAAGCATATAGCCATTTTTTTTGAACAAGATGATCTTTAACGAATTCGGTAAATCAAATCGTTACCCCTCAATCCTTTATATGTAATATAATAATAATTTTCAATTAATCAACAATTGTATATATAACGATAAGAATGTTGATTAAGAAAGATGATCAAGTTTTAAATTATTAAGGGGATAGTTAATATTAGGAAAACTATATTAATTAAAAAATTTTGAATAGAAAAAGTGTAATTCTAATGTTTGCTGTATTTTGAAATACATAATTTTTCTTTATCAAAATCGCTACATATCTGGTTTTTTTAAACAAGTTTATAAATTTGATCAAACAAAAAATCATAAAAGAAAAGGATTTTTTCAGTAAGATGATAAAGAAATCAAGAGTTTGTAAGGAAAAATGCCTTTAATGATATCTATGAAAGTGATTTGATGCTAATTATTTTTATATTATTTTACATTTAATAATTTTACCTAATATTTAAATTTTAAACATAATTTTTACCAGAATTATACATGAGATTTACCTCCACATATTTGTGGAGGCAAACGTGGAAAAGATTACACTAACCACATTTCTTTGACATATTTACGTAATGGTTTATTGCTTGATCTGTTTTTTGATCCGTTTGATATTTGAAAAGTGACGAATTTGTAAAGTAAAAAATCATTACACCATCATACATCATCATATTTGAATCATCGCCTATAAATATGCTTGCTCAGGTAATTCAAAGAATTCAGTTTCTAAAATAAAATAAAATAATGTCTTATAAAAGCATTATTCAAAAGAAGAGGCAGGATAGAAAAAAACGAATGTACCTAAGAAACGCTCAACAAGAAACGTTATTTCTCATCAGATCTCTTCCACAGCAACCGATCACAAATGACCAGATGATAAATTTTTTCTTTAATGGATCCCCATTCTAACATACGACTGATTTTTTTTTTTTTTAAAAAAAGAAAAAAAAAAAAAAAAAAATTTCCAAAGAATTTATTCGAGCTACTCTATATAACCACCCATTTAATTATATGACTCTCTCGCTCAAAAAAATTTAACCTCTTCGACAGTCAAAATGAAACAAAGTACAAGCACTCTGAATAAAAAATATTTATCTCACACATACATGATGTAATCTCAACATATCGAAGATGAGGACCCTCCAACAAGAAAGTCAGAGACATTATTGAAGCTGGTCACTGTCAAATAGAGCGATTCCTAAGGTGTAATAGCAGGTCACTGCCGAATGGGCCTATACCTAAGTACCGAAATACACTTGATCGGTATGAAGAAGTTACAAAGCCCGGCATACGGTGCATATTTTCTGAAGAAGATTCGCGCTGATACACGGAGCTAGATTTCTTTTGACTTTTCGCGACATTTCGGAGTAATATTTCTTTTTTCTTGCGATGTATTCCGTTTCTTTTTGAATAGTTTCTTCGGCGAACTTGTCTTAAGAAAAAGAAAAAATAAGGTTTAGGTTTCACAAAAAGTTCACATGGTCAAGTAAATTAAAATTAGCTAAGAATTTAGAAGTTAACTATTTATAAATTATATATATAAATAAATATACCTTCACGTTTTTCCAACACAAACTTTTTATTTTACTATTGAGCTAACCATTTTTTATTCAAACATTATCAAGAATTAATTTAATTGATGATGTGTTGATATGTTTAAGATGTCAACACATCAAAAAAAAGAATGTTCGACCAAGGGTTTTCAGAACATTGATCGAATAGTCTAGAAATTTGTACCCCTTCGATTGCATGAAACTTAGATTTCAATTTTGGTTAGTTTCAAAAAAAAAAAAAAAAAGGTTGTCGGTATTCAAAACAAAAAACTCCCCCAATTTTTTTTTTTTCTCTCTTTTGATGTTTAAAATGAGAGAGTGTGTATATCATGAGATGATACAATTGTAAATATTTCAATTCCTTATTGTAAACAAAGGTGTTTGTCAAAATTAAAGAACTTTATCCTCATTGTGCCCTCTTTTTTGTTGAAAAAGGTCAAACCTTTTTAAAGTTCATCATTATTATTTTATTATTATAATAATTTTTTTTTTTTTGACACTTAAATATTCCCCATAAAAGTTAAAAAAATCATTGGATTTACATTTTGGTTGATACTTTTTTTTTTAAAGTTCTAATTTACTCGATTTGGTAATTGAGTTTTCCCATGTTAAATGCTATGCAACCTATTTACCAATTACTTCATTACATAACGAGACTCAATGTTTTGTTGATATAATTTTCGACCAATTGACGTAATGATGGTGGTCAAACCTTAAGGAAAAATTGTCGCGCCTAATGAATTGAAATCATTCCCTAAAATGATTTTTTTTTTTCCTAATCGTTGATCCCAAACAGGCGTCTGCATAAACATAGTAGCATGTGAAAGTAGGGATAATAAAATTAGATTATTATTATTTCTAACTATTGTAACTTTGGTTAAACTGTCAATCCTTTTTTTTTTTTTTTAAGGAAGTACGTACAAAAGCTATTTCCATTTATTACATCAGAAGATTTTTACAATAATGATCATCTATCTTTATAGAGACTATCATTTCCCATTTTTTAAAAAGGTGAAGGATTTATTGATGTAAGCATAAACATCAAAACACAAAATTTGATCTATATGTTAGTTGGCTGAATATGGCTTGTAAATATATGAAAGTAGATTCAAATGATAATAAATATTCAATAAATGAATTAGAAATATGTACTATTTAATTTTATAAAAATTTATTTAATATCATATAATATATTATTATTTATATATATATTACTCTACAAAAAATTAGTGTCCATCTTTTACCCATGATTGTAATTTAAAATTATTAAAATTATTGAAAATGCTGACATTTAATTTTTGTATTGTAATATATATTATTTTATTAGAATAAAACAAAATCACCTTTACAAGTAATCATTTCTATTAATGACTGAGTTCTAAATATACATGAGATCATACTTTAAAGTCATGTTAACAGTAAAAAAAAAAATATATATGGGAACTCTTAGGCGGGTTTTCGATATAAATACAGCGTTTGTAAATTACCTTTCATAATAAATTACATCCGATAATGTATTCAAAAAACTTCACCCGTTGCGTTAATCAAAGGAGGCAATGTAGAAAACATAGAACGTACTTAAAACGCGTTCGAATTACCAATAATCAAGAGACGCTGAGCCTGATTTCGAACTTACCGAGACAAAACTCAAATATACCTTTTATAAATTCTTTTTTCAACGGTTACTCGTTCATCTAAGATAACCTTTGAAAACAAAAAAAAAAAAGAAAAAATAATTTATTAATAAAAAAAATTAAGATTTGTAAATTATGATACCAAGAAAAATGCAAAAGTACGAATCACACATACTTATGAATACATACAAGCAAACAAGAGAACGATTTAGTGAACTAAACAATACTGGTGGACAGAGACGCTCCAAAAATTAAGAGATTATTGATACTGATCCCTGTCAATAGGACGGAGATTCACTGGCAATGGCCTATATCTAATACTCTTTCTTTTTCGGTATGAAAACCTTCCATTCGTGGAGAGCTAGGTTTCTTGTTATATCTTCTCTTTTGGTGGCTTATTTTTTACTTTTTTTCATTTATTTGTTTTTTGGTTGGTGGATACTTTTGTTCATGTATTCATTTTTTTTTTTTTTCGAATTTTTTTTTTTTTTTTTTTGTCAATGTATTAAAAAATCATGTATCACAAATCTAAATCAAACAATTAGGGATGGGAAATTAACGATTTGGTTAATTAACATTATATTTTCGTAAACAAATAATTTTTTAAAAAAAAAATAAATATAACTTTGTAAAAAAATTTTCTTTTATTTTGATTGGTCAACTAAAATTATCTTTAGGTTAATTGGTTAACCAATTGACCCTAAAAAAAATTACTTTAAAAAGTCTGCTGATTCCGCGCTCCCTTAATTCATATTTGGTACCCAAAAAATTAGCATTATTATTATTTTATTTTATTTTATTTTACACTACTATTTTATCTTTTTTTTTAAAAAAAAAAGGTGGCACCTTTGTCGTTATCCAATTAGATAGCATTCATGTATGATCAAATATAGCATTTACCCTTTATTTTTGTTAATCTATTTGTATTTAATAAATTTTCATTAGTTAAAAAAAAAAAAAAATTAAATTAAGGTGTATCGGCTCCCTTAAAAAAAAAAATGAAACGTGAAATGTTAATCCTTCGAGGCAATTGAATTCGGTTATTCGGAAATATTTATTTACTTTCCGTTGTAAAGATTGCATCATTATTATTATTTTATTTATACTATTTTCTTTAAAAAAATTGGCACATTATCAGTTAATCTATCTAGATAGCATTCATGTAAGTTATATATGGCATTTTCGTTGTATTATATATATTCCTTTAAAAAAAAAATCATATTGAATTCGGGTATTTCGGTTTTGTGAAATTATCCATTTAATTTTAATTTATTAAGTAATTTAAATTTAAATTAATTTACACAAGAAACGTTTGTTCTCTTAATTTGTATATCACTTGGCATTTAAAAAAATATCAGGTGGTGCATATTGTGATATATCTTAATTTTAGCTTTTTTTTAATGCGTTGCACTTCATATTTTTATATTAAATTGATTCTTATTTTATTCGGGTTTTCCTACATTACCTAATTTTGAATGATACAAAATATACAAGTATGGCATCATTCCTGTATTATGATATCAATTCATTTCTTCTTACAACAAAAGTATCCTGATCGATAACAGGTAATTATCATTAGAATTTAAAATATAACAATTAAATATTTACTTGTGCATTAGATGCATTAAACTAATTAAGCAAGACAATATTTTAAAATGGATCGGAGGGATCAGCATCATCAGGGTTACCCAAATTTAAAATTTAAAAATATTACATCATTCTTTTTGCTGACTTTTTTTTTTTATAAATACCATGAATTTTCAATCATATTTGCATCGTAAAATATTCCTAACAATGTATTTAAGTATCATTCATAAACGAAGAAGACAGCGAATGAATCAAAGATCCATTCAGTCCTTCGACAATCAAGAAACATTGGATTGGCTACGGAACCTTCCGCAGCAAATTTCAACCGATCCATGGGTGCTTAATTTTTTTAATGGTTTTTAAATAAAAACCATCCTCAAAGAAAAAAAAAACGTTCATGGGTGATTATGAAGCTGGTCACTGTCAAATGGTGAGATACCTAAGGATGTGATCGAACGCGGGTCACTGCCAATGAGCCTATACCTAAGTACTGATCTTATTTCGAAATCGGCATGAAGAAGTTATAAAGCTCGGCATACGGCGCAGCAGTATTCTCTGATGAAGTATCGCACCGACACACGGAGCTTAGATTGCCTTGATATTTTTCTTTCTTCGCTTTTTTTAAAGTAATTTTTTTTTTAGTGTAAATTTAAGAATTAATAGTTTACTAGAATATTTTTGTATATTTTTCTCATTTTCTCATATAGAACTTTAAGTTAGAACTCAAATTTTAGATATATGTTTTGGTTCATCTAATAAAGAATTAATAAAACCAAAAGAATTAGAATTTTATTTAAAAAGTGAGCAATCACGTGATGTATTGTAGTTAAAATGATTGTAATTCTCCTGTATAACATAAAATTGAAGCAAGTAATAAATGAATAACCAATATCGATATATTTATTTCCTGTAAATCAATTTATCAATAATAATCAAAGTCTTGTAATTTGTAAATAAAGAACTAATTGAGCATGATGAAAAAGAAATATACTTTCCGAAGTAATGACCGGACTTTTGATAAGGTAACTAATATAATGAAAACGACTCGGATTTATATTTTAAAAAATCATCACGTGATTACACGATTTGCAATAATTTTGGCCAGAATTATCCCTCGAATTTTGTAAAATTACTTTTACCGCGCATATAAAAATATTTTGATGGTTATACAGTATAAAAAAAAAGATCGACCCAATTAATAAATTAGACTACTCTTGGACTGTTTACATATTTTGCCTATTATTACTTCTTTTAGTTACAATAGTTACATAGTTACATAAGCAAAAGATGCGCAAAAGCAAGAATAACGATTTCAAAACTCCCTTTATAGTTCCTCAAGATAGTCTTCCCTTTAAGAGTATCAAGTATTCAGTCACGTATCCAGCAAAGCGCAATAAAATCGATGATTCAGTTAAGAATTCTCGTCTTTTAAAACCTTTAGGAAAGAACAACGTTGTTTCCGACGCGGAGGATAATATTGAACTTCCTCACAAAAAACCAAAAGAAGGGAACTTCAATGATAATTTACCTGTCTCTTCCCCTCCTAAAAAGATTAGCTGTATTAGCTCAACCTTTTCATTAAAAAAATTGTCGCGTCCTTTTAAAGTTCCTACATTTATTAGAAATGTTGAGCCTCATAACGGTCAACAACGTCCACTATCCCATAAGCACCTTGCCTTTGTAAGACCAGCACATAATCCTAAGGCGGAAAACGCGATTATACTTTATGATCCCTTGGATAATAAAGATCAGGATATTAAAAAGAAGGATAAATCCGTGGCGGAAATTTTAGGGACTAAAAATCCGGCTAATCAAGAAGTTCCTGTCATTGTTGGTATGGTGATTTGATTTATATCTTTCTATTCAATCAACGTGATGATTCTTTCTGGGTATTGACATTCGGCTATTAGATCCAATTTTGGGGCAAAAACTTCGTCCTCATCAGGTTGAAGGCGTAAAGGTACGATTTATGTGTATGATTTATTTGTACAGTTTATTTTAAATATTAATGATCTTTACTTTTTTGATAATTCCAAAAAAGTTTCTATATAATTGTACCACTGGAAGGACCGTAGAAGGAGCTTTTGGGTACATACGTTAAGAGAATCAAATCATTATTATTATTATTATTTTATTTACAATTATTGTTTTTATTTGTAGGTGTATAATGGCAGATGAAATGGGTCTTGGAAAAACTGTATGCATTTGATTAATTGTACACACACACATATACACATAAAACAAATTTGTTGATCATATTTGGTGTTTATAATTCTCATAAATATAGCTTCAATGTATCGCCCTTCTGTGGACACTACTTAAACAGTCTCCTGAATTTAACAAGAAAACAATAGAGAAATGTATCATCGCATGTCCATCAAGTCTTGTGACAAATTGGGCTAATGAATTTGGTATCCTATCATGTACATTCGAAATTTGTCACTTTTGTGCTATCATATGTATTAATTTTAATTTTATTCTGCTAGTTAAATGGCTAGGATCTTTACGAATCAAACCGCTAGTAATCGATAACAAAGGAGGGAAAGAAAATGTGATGAAAGATCTGAAACATTTTGCCGATGCTCAGGGTCGAATGATTATTAATTCTGGTATGTCGAAAACTATGTCAGCCAATTAATTATTTTAAGAATAAATATTAAGATGATCAATTTTTTTTTCTATCGTTTAATTGTGAAAAAGTTTTGATCATTTCATATGAGACATTACGTGCAAATATTGTGGAATTAAAGGAGTGTAAGATTGGTCTTCTCTTATGCGATGAAGGTCATCGCCTAAAGAATTCAAGTAAGTGCGTGGTTCATTTCGTCGTTGCTTATTTGATTGGAACGCGTTTTGTGATCTTTCGTTATGTTAATTAATTAATTTATTTATTTATTTTCAGATTCGTTGACGTTCCAGGCTTTAAATTCGCTACAGGTACAACGAAGAGTTATTTTATCCGGTACACCAATTCAGGTAGTTACAGTAAACAGTTATTGTGTTGTTTTAACATAGTATATATTATATATCACGGTATCCTTTGTTATTTTTATTTGTTTAGAACGATCTCTCCGAATATTTCTCGCTTTTAAACTTTACCAACCCTGGACTTCTTGGTACGCCCAACGAATTTCGCAGGAATTACGAGAATCCTATCCTTCGTGGTAGAGATGCTGATGCATCTGAACATGAACGATACATTAGTGATCAAAAGTTAGCAGAATTGTTGAGTGTTGCGAGCAAGTTTATTATAAGGCGAAGTAACGACATTTTATCAAAATATTGTAAATATTCCATTTTATTATGGGTTGAATATATTTAAATATGATAAACTGATTTCATTTGACAAATTCTAGTACCCGTAAAATACGAACATGTCGTATTTTGTCGCCTAAGCGAGTTCCAATTATCACTATACGAATTGTTCATGACATCTCCTGAAATCCAACGTCTCTTGCGTGGTATCGGTTCACAGCCTCTTAAAGGTACACATTCTTTAATTGTATATCTGGACGCTAGTTTTCCATATATTAACATGACACGTCACTTTACAGCTATAACTATCCTTAAAAAGTTATGCAATCATCCCGACTTGCTTGATCTTCCAGGAGATCTTAAAGGATCGGAAACATGTTTTCCGCAAGATTATTCAATAAAGGAAAAGGCACGAATAGTTAAACCGGAATTTTCTGGAAAAATGTTGGTTTTGGATAGGTACTGCAATTGTAATTTGTCATTTAGGCACAAATTTTGTTAGATAATATTTATAACTTATCTTTGAAATATATAGAATGTTATCAAAAATTAAGGACGAGTCAGATGACAAGATCGTCTTGATTTCAAATTATACGCAGACACTAGATCTTTTCGAAAAATTATGCCGGATGAGAAGGTAATATGCTGATTAAATAATTTTCATATCTACCATACATGCTAATGTTCGTTTCTCTTTAAGATACGCTTGTCTGCGGCTTGATGGTTCGATGTCGATAAAAAAACGACAGGAACTTGTAAATCGATTTAACGACCCGAAAAGCCCAGAATTCGTGTTTCTCCTGAGTAGCAAAGCGGGTGGATGTGGCATAAACTTAATTGGAGCAAATCGTCTTGTATTATTTGATCCTGGTACTGTCTTTCTCTCTTTTTTCTTTTTTTTTTTTTCCTCCTTCGAGAGAGTATTAAGCAATTCTTATAAATTTATGTGTACATTCAGATTGGAATCCTGCTTCTGATCAACAAGTAAACTCCATTTCCTTAATTTGTTCGAATTTGTTGACATTTGTATAATTATGTTTATTAATAAATCTTTTTCCATAGGCATTGGCAAGGGTTTGGAGAGACGGACAAAAGAAAGAGTGTGAGTTAATATAGAAGTTTTGAGAGAAAATCTTAATAATTTCCCATGAAAGTTAAATAATAGAATTAATAATTTTAAACAGGTTTTATATATCGATTTATCGCGACTGGAACGATTGAAGAGAAAATCTTCCAACGTCAATCACACAAGCAATCTCTCTCATCATGTGTTGTTGATGAGGAAGAAGGCGTTGAAAGACACTTTTCACTTGAATCTTTAAGACGTCTGTTCCAATTCGATCCGGATACCATGTGTGACACTCATAGCACTTTTAAGTGCAAAAGGTGTATTAATGGAATTCAAAGTCTTCCAAGGCTTCCCAGCGAAAATATGAGTTATGGTGACACGAGCTCGTAAGTTTTGTTGTGTATATGTCTCATTTATGAGTTCTTTTTTTTTATGGTAATGTTTATTGTCTTTTTACTTAAAAGATGGGATCATTTTTCTGGGGGAACTGATCTTCTTAAGACTCGAGACCCAATTCTGAAGTTGGAAGCTAATCAAGGAGTTGTTTCTTATGTTTTTCAATATAAGTCTCATTAAACTCATGGGTACTTTGTGGATTTGAACATTATTTTTTTGGGTAATGGCATAATTTTTTTATCTTTATTTTTTTTAGACCAAATGAAAACGAGAGGTAATTCGTTGTTAAGGCATTAACGATGTTCTAAACAAGCCGAGTTTATTAGCCATAAGTAAACATCGCTTTATTAACTTAATAATAATAAAAGTATTCATAATAGTTGTACGTGATGCAAATATATATGTATCTATAAAAATCTATAAAAATCTATTACTCTTGAACATGTCTATTTTTGATCCAATTTGATTCTCTTTACATTATACTTTTCATTCTTACTTTCCGCTGTATCACATGTTCTTCTATTTGAGATCTTGGTATAATTGCGAATTTTACGTTCTTTACCGCCTCCAACAATAATTGAAGTTGACTTTTTGGCAGGTAGATTTGTTATGTTATCAAGATCTTCCAGGAAAGTTGAATAAACCAAAGATTTTGTCATATGAGCATACCATTGTTCATAAATATGGTTATAAAGTCTTAAAGGAGTATCGTATAAAGTGTCGGAATCGCGTCCATACCGCCACTCCAGATTATCAAATTCACAATCATATAATACCAAAGGAATTTCGCTAGCCATTTCGTAATTAGGTTTGGCGGGTGTTTTTGTAACATCCAAAAGTTCATCAATGATTGATGGAGACTCTAGATTTTGACCTATTAAAAAAAGAATAGCCATCATACATCTAACCTGATGCCATAAAAATGCTGTACCGCGTAAGTTAAATACATAAAATTCCTTGAAAGAATTCTCTTGATGTCGTACAAGATCTATTCCTACTTCAAGTATCGTACGTTTAAAATTAGTGATTTGTTTGGCACCATCAATCTTACAGAAATTACGAAAGTCATGAGTTCCAAGAAATCGATTTGCCGCTTCACTCATTAATTCTACGTTTAAATTTCCGCGAACAAAGAAATATTTGTATTTTCTTGATTTACAATTAAATCGTGCGTCGAAATCATCATCAACAGGAGCCCACGCCAATATTCTTATATCATTTGGTAAGGATCTATTTAAAGTTTCAACATATGATACTTCTTCAACTTTCCTATGATTAGACTTAATATTTGTTATATCGGAGGTAATAGTAGTGGTATCATTACTTTCTAATATAACAGGAGGAACTTTTGGAAGATTTGATCTAACATTTAACGTTACTACTTGACCCAATCCGCTAACCCCTTTATCAGTTCTACCACATTTAGAAAAGTTACAATCTGTTGGGTCAGATATCAATTTTGCGTTTATTAAGGATTTAAACAAATGTCCTTCGATGGTAGGAAAATCACCTTCGTTTCCTTGGGAAGCAAATCCATGATAATTCCAACCAAAATAAGCAATTTTTAAAGCGATGTGTCTTTTGGAATATTTTGACCAATCAAAAGGCCTATCGGACGATTTTTGTTTCTTTTTGTCCAATTTTTTTGTGGAAATTGGTGAATTTATTACCAGAGAGGTAGTGACAGGATTTAACGTTGTCTCTTGAAGTTTTGATTCGTAGAATAAAAGCTTTTCGATAAGTTGTTCTTTAGTCCAATTTGAATATTTTTCCGTTTCAGATAGTTGTAACATTTTACGTGAGTTGATAATATGATTAATTGAAACTCTTAAAATATTCGGAATTTTGAGATTGTTTACAATATTTTTAACCATCTATATATGCTATCACTTTCAAAAATGTAAAAAGGCATCAGATTATCGTTATCAATGCATGACATGCATGACATAACCATAACCATATAAGCAAGCATACACGTGGTTTACGAGAAGCTTAAACAAACCAGTTCAAAAGATATGAATATTAACACCACGAACATTAACAACGATAATATTCACGACAGCAACCCTACGTCCCCAACCATGAGCATCAATAATCTTATTAGTCCTAGCAATTCGAACAATAATAACACAAATCATAACATGAGTAACAATACAGACATTGGAACAAACACGACAAACCCGATGGGTAGTCCACCACGTCGTCCAAGTAATAGTCCTCAATTCCTAGACCCTCTAGCCACACCACGTTCTTTTCTTCGTAATATTAGTACCTCTGCTACGCCCAGTCTTATAGCTACGCCACCTCCACCTTTTAAATATCCACTTCCTCTTACAAACAGTCAAAATAATAAAGACAATGTTCAAAATGCTAACGTCAGTGGGAATGCTGACAATATTTTTGTTGGTTCACCCATGCTTACGAATTCTCCATATTATGACGCTAGAACAAGCATGGCCAGCACTGTTTCTAGTGCTGCAAATCTCAAGTTGGATGATAAATTAAGGTATTGGAGGCATGATGCTTATTTGAAGAATTTGTATGAAACTGCAGCGTTTTGGGGGAATAAAGTTATGACCATTACGGGTAATTCATTTATACATTTATTCATGATTTTTAGTTATTAAACGGAGCAAGATTTTTAACTCTGATCCATTTTATCGCAGGCGATTCAAGTGATATATTTTGGTTAGCACAAATATATTATAATATGGGACAATATGTTAGAGCTCAAAAATTAATCTGGAAACTAATGGATACTAGTGTCGCTTGTAGATTTTTAGCTGCAAAGTGTTGCGTGAGTATGAAAAAATGAATATTTGATCGGTGTTAAGTAATAATAATTCGAGTTTGATTATTTCTTTTTTACTTTGAAATAATTACCATGTTTTTTTTTTTTGATTATTTATTTATTAAGTTCTCATTTTTTTTCATTTTTTTTTTTCATCATCATTGTTATTATTTATTGACGCGATGTTGTATATTATTAGATCAAACAGGAAAAATATCAGGAAGCATTAGAACTTTTAGGTGAAGAGAACCCTTTTGTTGATGATGGTACGTTATCGTTAATTCCGGTTGAAATGTTATTTATCTTTTTTATTTATTTGTTGAATAACTAAGTTTGAAATTTTGGCTAAAGGCTATAGATTAATAGTAAAAAATACGGAAGGAGGCATTCAGGTTCGATTATTTGAATAATTGAAACCTGATCATCATGTTGATAATAAATCATATCAAACTTTTCTTTTACGCAGCTCGAAGCGTCTATGTGTTATCTACGCGGTTATGCATTCTCCCAACAAGCCAATCTTGACTGTGCAAAAAGATGCTTCAAGGAGGCATTAGAATTGGATGTAAAATGCTATGAGGTTGGTTGTCACGAAAACAAATGGTTTATCACCTAAAAAAATTTAGTAACGAGTGGTGTATTTTCCACTCACGTGATTCAACGTAAAAGAAATCAATGAAATTTATTTCTAAAACGAATAGGCATTCCATGAATTGATCGGGAATCACATGATGACAGCAAACGAAGGTACTTGATTATTTTATTTATTCAATGAGTTATTTGTTAAATTTTATCATCGGCATCGTATTTACATGATACATTTTTTTCTCGTCGTCATCAACTGTTGTACGTTAAGAATGGGACTTTATTACTAAATTAAAGTATGATGAACAACTGGACAGGGAGGAAGCGGAATTCGTGAAAATGAACTACATATCAATGCTCAACAAGGTATTGCAGAACCACCTTTTCATGAAAAGCATCGCTCTCAATCAAAAAAAGGTTAATCTCAATGTTATTTTATAGTATGAGCATCTTCCGGAAATCAAAGCAGCACGACATGAATTGGAGTCTTGGCGATTATCAAATAATGTCGATGTGTTATTAAGTCACGCGGAAGAGTTGTATACGCAGTGTAGATTCAAAGAGTGCTTTGAAATTACATCAAAGATTCTTGAATCCGATACTCACAATCCAGAGTGTCTTCCAATCCATATTGTTTGTCTTCATGAATTGCGGGAGAAGAATAAATTATTTTTATTAGCCCATGAACTTGTGGAACATTCGCCGGATATGCCGGTAACATGGTTCGGAGTTGGATGTTATAACTATTTAGTAGGAAAAAATGATGAGGCTAGAAGATATTTTAGGTATTATGCAAGAAAAAAAAAAAAAAAATGGTTGTCAATTAAATAATTCGCATGTTGAATGAATTAATTAATTAATTAATGCTTGTTATAGCAAGGCATCGACTATGGATTCACATTACGGGCCCGCATGGATAGGATTTGGTCATTCATTCGCTGTGGAATCAGAGCATGACCAGGCCATAACAGCTTATTCCACGGCAGCAAAATTATATGAAGGGTATTTAATTTTAAAATCGACTCTCGTTATTTCCGGTTTAAATTTTTTTGAAATCAAGTATCGGATAAAATTGATTCTTTCCTTTAAAACAGTTCACATATCCCAAGTCTCTTCATTGGTATGCAACATCTTCAAGCAAATAATATTTTGTCTGCTGATGAATATTTGTCAACAAGCTCCAAACTTTGTGAAGGAGACCCCTTAGTGTATAACGAATTGGGTGTAATGTTTTATCAAAAGTCCAAATATGCTGATGCTATTGATAATTTTAGGAGAGCTTTAATATTAGTAGATGAGACTAAATGTAGGCCACAGATATGGGAAACTACTTGGATGAATCTTGGACACGCATTTAAAAGGATGGGGCAAGTGTTTATAACGCCATTTCTTTTTTTTCTTTTTTCTTTTCGCCTTATGAAATTATATAATAAATCCAATGATTCTCCTTAAACGATACCAGCGATCTGGATGCCGCTATTAATTACTTTCAGAAAGTTACAACTATGACCACACCAAGTCCAAGCGCACTAACAGCTATCGGGTACTGTTATCACGTGAAAGAAGAATACGAAGAAGCGATCCTGTATTATCACGAGGTTTTTATATTTTCATTAATTACTTTCTGATGACGAACCAAAGGTTTTTCTATTGGCAATAATTAACGTCAAAACATTTTATCATAAAAAAAAAATAAAATAAATAAAATAGTCGTTAGGCATACGTCCTGTTGATCCCGTAACACAGGATTTACTTGAACGTTGTCTCGAGGAGATGATACTTTTTGTAAATGAAGAAAAAGAAAATGAGAGAGTGTAATTTGTTTATTAAAAAAAAAAAAAAAAAGAAAGAAAATATACACTAATTCTATAATATTCATTTTTATATAAAAGCCATTATTGAAGGAAGTTTAAAATTACCCTAAGAAATATTATTATTATGGAGTTTGGCTACATCATCTGAATAAGGTGTGGGTTACAATTATAATTATCAGATTGGCTTCTTTTTTTTTTTTTTATTCCTTTTTTCTTTAAATAGTTTTATCCCTTTTCTTTAATCAACTAATAAAAAAAAAAATTTGTCATTACATTATAATAGATTGAAATAAACGATTTATCGAAGCCCTTTAAGCCTCCATTCTTGTACATCACTTAAAGCCTTTTGACCCAAGAAAAATGCCAAAGCACTTAACCCTGATAGCCATGATAATGTTTGAAAAATGTTCAAATGTGTCCAATAATTATAAAATAGGATTTCAATAGCTGATAATGTGCCCAAGAAACCAATTATGGATGGAAGAGTTTCGAGTTCACTAGTCAAGAATGAAACATTAACGCCAAGATGTATCCACTTTTTTTTAAAAAAAAAAGAAAAGATTTTAATTAGTAACTATTGAAAATTAAGTTGAAAAGATTGAAAAGTTTAATGAATAAATAAAAATACCGCTCCGATTAAAAATAACCAAGGTGTTAATACTATCACCACAAAACTGTATGAGAGAAACGTTGGAGGTAATTTTTGATCGGGGTTAAAAATATGATGAATTTCAGGTTTGGGACCATATTTAACGGGAGCGGAGTATGTTTTTGGGATATCGATCTTAACAGTTCCAATGTGGTAATTGATTGGATTATCGTGTGAAAAAGTTCCAATAATAAGGTTAAGCGAGTAATTTCCCGAAAAAAGATTTCTAGTAGTTGGTGATTTCAAATATAGTTCGGCACGAGCTTTACCAGTTTCTCTTACTTTCACGAGTATCGGTATTTGAGATCCCTTTTGATGAGAACTTAAAACTAACAAGGATTGATGAGGTTGAATTCCACTTTTAGTTGCTTTATCTTGAATGGTAAAAATCATTTTTAAATTATCTCCTTGTGATAATTCGATTAGTTTATCAAGTGAAGAAGGATATGTGAGACTTTATATTAATAAAGGAATTGGTTAATAATTATTTACATTGAAATGAAAAAAAAAATAACGATAAAAATAAAAACAGTTTTAAAATACCTTTCGGTTAGCTTTCTTTGGGCTTCGGAATTTGTAACAGCTAACTTTATATCAGCTATGATAAAACCGCGTTCACTATCCTGTGCTAATATTGTTGAGCACATAAGCAAAGCAAGAATTTGCCATGTCAACGCGTAAATGCATACAAAAGATCGTCTCATTTTTTTTTTTTTGTTTAATTAACGACGAGTATAACCCGTTTAAAAATTTTTTGGTGGTTTTAACAATTTCATCTAATTACGTACTCAATGATCATTGGTGGTTATACATGCGAGTAATTGCTACTAGAATTTCCACTAGGCTTTAATAAATACAAATCACGTGAATACACTAACCAAATCATCCCTTTTTTCTTTTTACGCGTTCTAAATTGTCAAGGTTAGCAATTAGATTACAATGTATACCAACTCCGCTATTAGACCTCTCATTGACATCACAAAAAGAGCTAGAGAAACGAAAACCATACTATTTTATGAGAGGGATAAAGTCCAAGAAATATGCGAAGAGATAAAAGTTTTAAAGCAAGCAACCGAAGAAATTAACGATACCGAGTCAACCTCTGAAGAAGTTCACACGAGTCCTGGAAAGCTATGTGTTTATAATGCTATGAAGGAAAAAGAATTGAACGCGATTCAATTATATCATTTTCAAAGGATCCGAAAGACTAAAGAAGCTGCGTGCAAGGAAACGCGTTTGCCTCAAAATGAATTCAATAGATTAACTAATTGGGAACAGACATTTTATAATAAATATGAACAACTTATTGATAATTACAATAGTAATTGTCCAAAGTCTCTTTACTTAAACGATGAATTACATGTTCCTAAAGAACCCCATGTGGTCGTTCGAGTCATGGAAAATCTTGAGAGAGTGATGACAAAGAATGGCATCGTCGAATTCCTTAAGGGAAGTCAGGCTGTGGTTAGGGAAGCTGACTCAACAATTGCAAAGTTGATAAATTCGGGATATCTCAAAAAAATTAACAAGTGAAAGGGTATTTTTAGGACGACAAAGGAATTATGAATCAAAAAAAACTAGCATTGTTATTCCTTGGAATCAATTTTATATAATTAAAACGATAATGTTTGGATGACCAAAGTAATTTTATTTTGTCTAATAATAATCTTTAATAAAATTACACGACTTGAAAGGTTATACTTACTCGTTTTATTATTATTATTATTATTATTATTATTATATTATTACATTTAAATATTCTTGGATCACAACAGTTTAACGTTTTTCGAATTTTTATTTAGATTTCCGACAATTTTCTCTTCTTAGTATCCTTTCCTTTTCCTTTTCCTTCCTCCTTACTTGCTGCAACCTCCAAGTTATCATCAGTATCAGTATTTTCTTCTTCAACATCAGAACCTTCATTATCAGAGTCACTTAATTCAACATCCCTGAATATGTGAACAAATTTTATAATTTAAAAAGAATTTATTTAAAATGCGTTGGAAATTAAAAATAAGAAAATACTTACCATAACGATAATGAGGCGGCAACATTATTTGAAGGACCAACAGAAGTAGAATTTTTATTAGTTGAGGTTGGCTTTTGAAGTGCTAAAAAAGCAAATATTAGTTGGTAAAACGCTACATCAAAATAGTAATAAAGATGATCGATTTATAATGAAGTTAATTCATTACCTTCCGCGACTGCGTTTTGTACCTTCTCCTTCATTTCTTCGCTAGCCTTTAAATAATCAGTGTCATCAAAGCGATGTTTTTTTATTGGATGTTCACGCATGCCTTCCTCGATTTTCTTTTTTACTTTTTCTTTTAGAGCGCGTTGACGTTCTGGTTCTTGTTCAAGATGGTCGGCAAGTCTAAAAACAATATTATATATATTTTTATTGCCATATTAGCCATGAATCTTACAAGTTGTAATCATGTCAGCGAAAACAAAATAAATAAAATAAATAACATTGTTTTCTTACCTTCTAGCCTCATTAACAGTCCTCAACCTACGCCCATTCAAATCACGACAAGCCTCAAAATTGGTAGTTTTTTGGCTTGCCATTTTACCTCCCTGTGCTCTTAGCATAGAACCAAAACCACCCTTTCCACCAAGAAGGGGAATTTTAAGAGTAATATTTATAAAATCTTCATTGCTGTTTTCGAATATTAGAGCGTAATCATTTAAAAGCTTCCCTGACGTTGTATAAAGACACTGAAATTCTGGTTCAAGTAAAAGTCGTCTATAAACGACTTGTTTAACATCGAACACGGTTATAAGAGCATCAGTCGGAAACAACAAACACATTGTCTTTTTGTTACTAAACAGAGTTACAATCACAGATCGGTACTGTCGCTCAGGCTTTTCGTTAAAAAAAGCATCCTGGTTCGAGTGATCATAACTAAGCAAATTGCGATCGTAAAGTGAAAAGCTATTTAGAGGTGGAATAGAAAGTAAAGGTGTTGACATTTTTTTTAAATTATTTGTAATAATAAAATCTGGAATTAATTGAAGTTAAAATAAAGGCTTAAAAAAAACTGAGGTATATATATACTTCAGATGATGTAAACGTGAGACGGTTGTTCATGCAATTTCCATTTAATTTGATTGGACAGAATTCTCCTAGTATGAAATGACTTTCCAAATTTAGAAATTTTACACGATCAACATATGGGATCTAGCATTTTACTAATTTTACAAGCAAACTTCCCATATATAAATGTTAATTAAAAAATGAATTATTCCTTTTTGTTGGCTTTTTCATTTATATGTAGTAAGTAAGTATTTCCTGTTCTGCAATCTAATGACGATATCAAAATTGTTTCTATGCCCGAGAGTTACTACATTCTTCCCTTGTTTGGAGATCTTATGACGCATGTGGGATCGTTAAACCCCCTTATTGAATTGAAAGGATTATTTTTATTTTTCCTTTGTGAAGATAAACCTCTCTTATAGAAATGCCAAAATACTTTACTCGGTTTTACTAACTTTTTTCATTCTCCTTTATAGTGAAAAAAGTTTCTTGCACGAGGAATTAAACTGGAATTATTTAGAGAGACTAATTCTTCAATTGTGATGAGAAATCAAACTTGGTTCAGGTCGACGAAACTAAACTTTGTTTGTTCAATTCAAACTTATTCTATTTTTCATGTACGGTGATAATACTGATAACGATATGAATATATATTTAATGGAACATTTCAAAAGAAGCATTTTTATTATGATCAAATAAATTCGTGTATCAATCAATTTTTTTTTATGACAAAAAGGACTTTTTCTAAACAAATAATTCTATTGGACTGAAATGAACAGAAATCTATTCGCTGAATAATTCTATATTATGTTGATCTGTTTTCCAGTTGTCGTTAGATCGAAATTCAATAATTGTAGTTATTTAGGCAATAAAGTTAACAAGAAATTGATGAAATAACCTCCACAATCTAGATTTTAACTGTTGCGTCTACTGAGAACGATGAATTATGGTACATGAATTTAATACGATTTTATCATGATGTTTGCAAACGATATCCAATTGTTTAGACGATTAATGGTTGAGGAGTGTTTTTTTGTTTGTTTTATTAAATACATTTATCAAAATTACATCAAAAAATTCGCATCCATGAAATAAAGTTTACAGTAAATGATTAATTTAAGCGCCCTGGATATCGCGAAGAATTAACCAACTAAAGACATTTGAAACATGAAAAAAAAAAAATATTATTTAAGTTCTATAATACAATAAATAAATATTTTCACTTGGTAGGAACCTTTCCAAAATATCAAAATAAATATAGCAATGAATAAAACTTAGGGCATTTCTGCAATCAATTTTTTCTTGGCAGCGAAAGTGCAGAACTGAAGTTAAAAGCGAATATTTCATTGTTAGTTTAGAATGCACCAAAAGATCTGGAAACGTGAATAACAAAATCAGAGGCCTCTTATTACCTCATCAAATAGGATAAACCCTCCTTTGTTCGTATCGATTTCATCGAATTCCTTCTTAATTTGTTTTTCTGAACTAGCATCTATTCCAATGAGCTTATGTCCCTTCTTGAATTCCTCAAAACTGATACGTCTGTCACTATCTGTATCAAGTTTCTTAAAAACCTTGAATAGGTCGTTGTAATAATAAAGAAGATCCACGAGGCGGCCAAATTCTTCAAAGTCGATGAAACCATCCTAATGGAAGTTTTAACAATTGTATAGTTTAAATATATGTTTTCAAAAGTACAAGGGATTTTACTGTTTCATACAAACATTTGAAGCGTCAGCGGCTTTGTAAGCCCTCATGATTGCGGGCTTATCTTTTGCGAGTTGGGGGTAGAGCTCAATGACAGCCCTATCGATTTCGGCGAGGGACAAGATACCATTACCGTTATAGTCGAAGACATCAAAAGCCTATAGAAGATGAAGTTAATTTACCATCGATCATGAAGAGGTCTCAAAGATTAATGTCGCGTCTATAGTTACCTTCTTAATACTGGCTTTATCTAGCTTTTCAGACTTTTCAACCTGGTCAATATTTTGATATTTATCAGACTTTGATCTTACGGGTTTTTGTTTTTTATCGGACATTATGTATAATTGGAACGAGTTTTGAAAATGAAAATGAATATGAATATGAAGTAGTATGGGATGTAAGATGAATTATTTTGTTGTGGATGTAAGGGATTATGGATTGTAAGAAGTATCTGTATCTTCCAACTAATTTATATATAATCATCGTATTACAAGGTTGTATGCGGGTGAACAATTAATGGATTTTTTATGAAACAAGAATGGTCCCAAAATGGTTTTAATAGATCCTAAAATCGTTTTAATAGTTCCTCAAAATAGGCAAGGCTTTACTCTGCATCTTTATAAGCCAATTCAAGTATGGTAAATTTGAACAAAAAAAATTTTTTTTTTTATTCCCTGGACTTTTCTTGTATTCCAACCTTTGAGGCTGAGCTTATACTTTTAATTTAACGAGAAAAACTTTCGGAAAGAAGTAGCGTTTCCTGATTTTTCGTCGATCTATCGTGTTACATGCAGAAAGGTCATTGGTAATGCGGTCTTTGGTAAGATTCCAATGATTAGGGCGTAATATGCACGGCCGAGACAATAAAGATTTTGTATTTATAATTTATTTACCGTAATTGATCATGTCAATAACGAAGCCTTATTGTCTTTTCCAAAAGGATTTTCGTCGATCATCCTTTCTAAATTTCATATCATGTTTTGTAGAATTCTATCGAAATTTTCGGAAAAAACTTTAAAACTCGGTAATACCGAACATTTTCCATTTTTATCCGAGTAATAAAAGTTTAATGATAGATAAGAGACATAAGAGATAATCAAAAAAAAGATTTTTTGGGGTAGTGCAAACAATTTTTTAACTCCTGAATTCCTGATGTTACAATAACATGCACCACCTTTTTTTTTTAAAGATAATACCAATCTAAAATTTTGTTTTAGTATTATTGTTGTGGTCTTCACAAACACAATGTGATCACTTGGGATTCATGCAAACTACAAAAACAAACTAAACCTTATTCAAGATTTTTCTAAAAAGCAAAATGGAAATTTGCGTTTGAAAGAAAACAATTCATTAAAATTTAAATGAAAAAATTTGGCTTGATTTGATCAAAATATACATACCACCAGTAATAAATTCAATAAAATGTGATTTTGCAAAACAAAAAACGGATTTTACAAATTCTGAAAAATCGGATCAACTGATCGATTTTCTTTTAATCAGATTTGAGAATTCAATCAATTATCAATTTATAATATTATGAATTAAAAAAAAAAATAGCTTTTTATTTTAATTATTAATTAATGATGCTTGTTAAAACCTATTTTATTAGTATAAAATTTTACTTGAATTTATTTAATCAAGTTTTTTTAAAAAGCTATCTATTGTAAATGGAAAAGATTGCAACAAAATCAGACAAAGTGCATATTTTATTATGTGACATAAATGAGAGGCTGATGTAACTGAAATTTAGCTAATTTGACTAATAGCATTTTGATTATTACAGTAATAACTTGTATACAAATTTTATGTTACAAACTTCCATTACTATCTAAAGATTATGTTTAATCAATATAAGATTATCTCTATATAAAAATTATTAATATAAAACTAATTTACATTAAATCCACCATGGAATCAAGAAATTATAGCATGATTAGAAGCATTCTAAAAAAAGCTTAAAGAGAAAAAATTGCTTCTTATATTTTTAAAATCAACAATATCCAAATGCTTCAGAAAAAGAAAAAATTACTTATGAAATTTAAATTACTTTCTTAACTTCAATCAAGGTTATTTTTTAGTCTCTTTAACTTCAATTTGAGTAGTTTGATTATTTTGTTATTCTTTCAGAAGTTTATTTTCTTGGGTTAATTAAGCAATTTCAATTTCTAATTCCTTAATTCGCTTTATTTTTTCATCATCTCATTTTTTAGATTTTTTATAAAATTTGGCTACTTCTTCTCTTTCTATTATTAAAGCCTCTTTAGTAATCATTAACTTTTTTTCTAATTTCTTAGTTCTCTTTTTTAAATAAAAACTAAAAAATCAAGAAATTAATTCATTTTCAGTAAGAGATTGGATTTGCTTTTTTTTTTCTTTATAACAATAACAAAAACTCTTGTTTTTCATTAATCTATCACACTCCTTACATCTTGAGAGAGCATTTTTATCATATTTAATTTTACAGTTTATAAATAAAAGATATATCAAGTATTATTTTATACTACTATCTGATAGATAGCAGAAGCAGTATTAAAATCAAGGTTGATTTGATCACTATAATCTATAAAGCAATAATTGCATTCTTGCTTATCCTCTTTTATTAATTTTAAAACTCTATATTTTAAACTCATACTAGTCTATTTATTTTTTTAAATAATATAAATTTAGAACTTCTTCTCATTCTTTTCTTTAACTTTATTTACCAATTATTTGAGTTTTAATAATTTGTTCTACTTATATTTTTTGGATAAAATAGGTAATTTTTTATTCTCATATTCTTTAATAACTTATTCTTTATTTTTTAATCAATTAATATTATTTTCTAAAACTTCTATTTTTTTAAAAATTATTTTCTCTTAAAATATAAATCAATTTTACTTTTTTTATTTAACATTCTTTCCATTCACTAATCACAATTTTAACAAATAGGCAAATATTATAATAAAAATATTCCTATTTTTTGTAATTCAAGAAGAAGGGATTAGTATAAGAATAAAAAAATATTTAATTTTTTTGGTAATTTCAAAAATACTAGCTTTTCTAATTTTTAACAGATTAAATTTAGTAAAAATACCATTAGCAATTAGCTGAGCTTTGATAATTCTAGAATTGATTACTTTAAATAAAAAATGTTAATACTTTTGTAAACCATTCAATTTCTTAAAGAAAATTCTTAACATAGAATTAAGATCTAAGTATTAAAAGCCTTTTATATTATTATAATACTGAATTTTGTTTAATCACGCTATACTTGATTTTTACATAATCTCAACAATATAATCTATGTAATCTACTATCATTGTGTGATATAGTTTCTTGATCAATCCAAATTACTATTACACTTAACTTTAATATATTCAGATACTATAAAATTTAATTCAATACTTTTATAATAACTGCAAATTACTTATAAATAAAATCAAATAATGACATTATTTTTATTCTATTCTCTTATATTATCACAAGTAATTTTTAAATTTTTCATCTTTATTTAATTTCTTAATACTATCAAATATCAGGCTCAATATACCATTAAGACCTTTTTTTATAATTTTATCTTCATCAAGAACATAATTAATTTGTTTGCATATTGCTTCATCTTAAATATCAAATAAATATACTTTATATAGACTGAGGTAATAAATCTTACTTACCTATTGATCAGAATAGAATACATGAAAATTTTATGCTTAATTGTAATTATAATGAGCAATAGCATCAATGCTACAATAATTTCTTATTATAAAATGCCTATCTACTAATTTTCTTTATTGTTCTGTTAATTTCATATTCTTGTTGTAATAATTTCTCTTTAATTTAGTCTTAACTAAATGTTCTTTATATATTTTTAGTAAATCATTCGTTTCTTTTTCTTTTATGAGTATTATATTATAAGTTATTCTAAAAATATTAGCATATATTGTATAAATCTATTTTTAAACTCATGATTTGAATATAAAATGTTAAATGATACTATAACTTGCAGAACACATCATGTTTTAACGATTTTAACATATTATTATTTTTAAGACTTATAATAAAATCATGATAGACTGACTTGTGATTTGTTTTAGCTAATAAAAGAGTAAATTATTGAATAATTCAATTGACATTTCTACTAGGACTTAGTAATCTATGAATTTCAGCATAATTCTTGAGAAAATTCTTTACAGCAATAGCAACAGTTGTATCAATAATTATTTTAGTTTTATTATAATACTCATTTGATATTACTATAAATATTGTCAACAGAGCAATTGATCAGTTATAATAAAGTCACGTGAATGATGCAGTATAACGATCTCTTAATTCAGAATTCTAAAAATACTGAGAATTTTGCAAATTCTGAAAATACGGAAGATCTACGTAATTCTGAAGATCTTCCAAATATTGATAATCAGTGATGTGCTTGAAAGGCTTTCAATGAAATTTTATTGGAATTGGAAAGCCGTATTGGAAGATTTGGAAGTATTGGAAGAAATTGATCTTCCAATAAGTCATGTGCATTAGAAGCTTCCAATCAAAATTTTGTACTATTGGAAATTGGAATTGGAAGCTTCTAATGGCCTTCCAATAAATATATTGATAATCTTTAATAATTTTTTTACATGTAACACTAATAGTAATACATGTCGCTTATCATGTACATTTTAAAAAATTTTTTTTAACTGCTTTCACTAATCATGATGAAAGCTACTAAAAGAAAACTTAAACCTAAAAATCATCGCTTAACAAAGTATACCAAAGTTATTGGTAAGCAAAATGCATGGAATACTTATGCTGTATGTATTGCTTGTGCTGAAAACCTAGAGGATGACGAACTTTCCAAGCATACATTTACAAATAAAAAACCACAAGTGAAAAATCATTTAAAAAATTGTCAATATTTTCGAGATAAAGTTGGTGAACAAATAGAACTAGATGCTATTATCAACTTATCAGATAATGAAAATGAAGAAATTGAAAGACAAAAACGTTTAAGGATAGATTTGGATTCTGGTAAGATTAATGAAAAGGTATTGAAATATTTAGAATCTATACAGAGTAATTTTGATACATTACTCTTTGATTCAATAGAAGAAATGTCATCAGTTCGATCTTTTACTTCATCAACATCATCTATACACTATCTTCATCCGATTAAAAGTGATGAAAATACTATAGGAAATTTTCTTGTTCGTACTCCTGCAAAAAAAGAACAGCCCAAGTTTGAACGCCTTTTATTGAGAATGACAGTATCAAATGGATTTCCGTTTCAGTGGCTTGATAATCAAGCAACATTAGATTTATTTGAATTTTTAAATCCATATTTAGTTTTACCAGGACGAAAGGCTTTATTAAATCGTATATTAAATGCAGAAATGGAAAGTTTAAATACATCACGAGATAATACATTAAGTAATGATAAGTTTGGCGTAACATTAGCATTTGATGGTTGGAAAAATATTTTAAACCAACATATATTTGGATCATTATTCATCACATTTTTGGATGAGGTTTTAATATGAAAGGCATCAGATATTAGCAGTGAAAGAGAATGTTTGATTGAAGTAATACCTAAAATCAAGAATTTAATTAAGGATTTAGGTATAAAACTAAATGCTATAGTTTCTGATAGCACTGCAGCTTATGCTGGGACACGGTAAGAATAAAACATATTGAAATTTATAATAAACTTTATAATATTATTTTATTAAAATATATTTTGAATTTTTTATATTATAGACAACGACTTCGATTGGAATATTCTCATATCAATTTTTTACCTTGTTTCGCATACCAATGCCAGTTGGCAATTTGTGATATTTTTAAAGAATTATTACCTTTAAAAAATGCATCAGTTGATGCAATTACAGTAGCAGCATTTTTTAAAAGTGGGAATAATAGTTATTTTATTGGTAAATTACGAGATATTCAAAAAGAGCTATATAACAGATTTTATTCAATTATGATTCTAGGAGAAACTAGATGGAACAGTCACTACTTCTGTTTCAAAAGTCTAATTCGTTCTAAACAGGCTTTAAGAGTAAGTATGGATTTTTTGAGTTATAATTTATTTACTTTATTAATATTTAATTAATTTATTATTTATTTATTATTTAGAATTTAGCTATTCGATATGAACGTCCATAACTTACTCCTGAAATGAGTTCATCTACATCAAATACAAATGAACTTTATCTAAATGCAAATATTTGTAAAATACTTCTTAATAATAGTTGGTGAGACATGATAGAAACTTTACAAGATATGTTATTACCTTATTGTGGCATTTTAAATAAACTTCAAAGTGACAAAGCACGTCTTTTTGAAGTACTCTATGCTTTAGGATATTTTGTTCAATATTGGAAACAATTTTCAGATGTTGAGTTAGGAGAAAAAATGATTAACCGATTGGAAAAATGTTAGAATTAATGGGAGTAACCATTATTATTGCTTTCCTTTATGCTTCATACAAAGTATCGACTCACATACTTTAATTATAGAATTAGTAATCTATCATTTACCATATTGGGACGCTATTTGATATATTATTACAAAGCATGGTTTTGGAAAAAACCAACTAGATTATTATTGGATTTTGAAGATTATCGCCAAAAAGTTGAGCTATTTACTTTTAATCAATTTGGCGATGATGTATTTAAATTTTGGAGGTATATTGAAGGTGATTATAAAGAATTAGCTAGTGTTGCTATAAAAATCTTTGGAATTTGTGTAAATACAGCATCAGTTGAACGCAAGTGGTCTTCTATGGGCTTTTTACATATAAATCGTCATAATCGGTTAACAGTAAGTTTTAATTTTTAATATTAAATTTTTATATATTATACTAAATTTAATTAATATATTTTTTTTTTTAGAATGATAAAGTGATGGAAATGAGTCAACTTCGTGCATCCATCAATTTTTCATTAAGAAAAAAGGAACTGCAGCAAAATAATATAGAGTTTCTTGATTTTAATGCTAATCCAGTTGAATTTGATTATGATTTAACAGGAGGTTCACAACAAAATCCTACAGATATTGAATTAGATGATGAAATTATAGGAAATCAATCTAATATTATTACTTCTGAACATTGGGAAAGAGAAATTAATGAATAGGAAGAAATGTTAGCAGAAGAGGAGAAATCCTGATTAGAAGAGGAAGAAGCATTAAGAGAATTAAGAGATCATTGGACAATTTTAAATAATGATCTTTTAAAAGATTATAAATACCCGGTAGTTGATAAAATAGCAAAATAGAAACTTAAAACTTTATTTAGCTCTACTATTAGTATTCCAGACTATTTACTAGTGTTAAATGAATAGATTTAGATATTTTTGTTTTTGAAATTTGAATAAATAAAATAAATAAATAAATGAACATTGAATTTGTCATATGAATCAATACTATTGGATAAAAAATTAGATCACATGAATAATATATTGGAAGCTTCTAATGAAGACCTATTGGTATTGGAAGGGTTGGAATTGGAAGAATTAGAAGGTTCCAATGCCTTCCAATCTTCCAGTACACATCACTGCCTTTACTATCTAATATCAAAACATCATAACAAACTGAAAACCTCTTCACATAATTCTTTTTTTTAAACATATTATCACTTCAATTATTAACATTTCTATTTTTAAAATAAATTTTTAATTCACTTTCTCCAACTATTATCATTTTTTTTTCTTTTTTTATTTCCTCCTTTAATTTCACATTCAGTTTTTTTTTATAGTTTTTTTCTGATTTTCATTAAAAAAAAATATTTTTTTTCTAAACGAAGCTTGCTACCTTTATGCGGTATTTAGAATCAACAATTATAGACTAATCTATATCTAGCCAAGAGCAAGTATACTTTACTATTTATAAATTTATTCTATTCATAGTTTTATTTTTTTATTTATTTATATAACATTATTATAATAAATAATAGAACCAATTATAACATGCAAAAAACAAAAATTTTGTTATTAAAATTCTATTTTGTTAGTTTCAAAAACTAATACTTTTTCAAATTCTTTTTAGATAAATAATGATAAAACTTTATTATTTAGATTCTTCTAAATAAGCTATCAACTATAATTAAAACTGCAGCTGAAAATTCAGTTAAACTGTCAGTTAAACTGATAGTCTAATCATATTAAATCACATGATAAAAACTGATATTTATCATAATTCTTAATCTTAAAATTAAACTGAATCAATTCAGTTACACAATCAATTTAAACTAGTTTATCTTTAACTGTTAATATCCTTAGCTTAGAGTTATATTGATTCTAATCATCATTTCTTGATGCTCACTTTTTGCAGTTAAAAAAAAGAAAAATAAATAAGAAAAATAGTTGAGAAAAGTGACAAAAAAAATATTTTAACAAAAAACACCACCATTTAGATTAATAATAGACTATTTTTTTAGATAAAGATATGAAAAATAAAAAGAGAAAAGGTTTTAAAAGAGAAGTTATATTTTTTGTTATAGATTAAGCTGTGATCACCTTTGAATATACATATTTTTTACATAAAATTTTTTAGACAAATCTAATAAGAAAGAGTTTTTTTTATATATAACTTAGATTAATTTTTTTTAATAATATGATACTATCATAAATTTATTAAATATGTTATAATGATTAATAATAAAATAAAAATAAAGAATAACTATAACTATTTCCTGTAACTATATTACAAATCTATTTAAATTAACCAATCATTAGAATTTCCCTTAAGAAAAATTACTAAATCTATAAATAATGATTGAACTATTACCAAGAAATTCAAATGATACATCAGTATCAAATTAAAAATTCAAACTAAAAAAAACCAAATTTGAGTACCATAGATGATCATAATTTTCACTTTAAAGAAAATTGAATCTCATATTTAAAAATTGGAATTTGTTTTAATCTATTTTTCTTTTTCTTTAAACAAACTGATATTCTTTTACTTTTTTTTAAGAATCCAAATATTCTTTTTAAATTCAGAAATAAGAAAATTAAATACTTTAATGAGAATATTTTGTAAATTAGATAGTGAAAAAAGTTTTCTTAATAAATGTAGAAATTTGGATGATAGAATTTTTTTAAATAAGAGTATGTATTTAAAAAGGAATCTAAAAAGTCTAGCAATTATTTTTTTAATGGAATTGTATAAAGAGATATGGTTTTTATTCTTTTCTAGTTTATCTGTGATAATATTATCTAAAAGATCCTATACAGATTTATAAATTGAAGTTATAGTATTACATGATGCTATATAATTCTATAAATATTAATGATTCTTTTTATTTGTATTACATAGTCTATAATATCAATCCTTATATATATTTAGACATCTAGTTTATAGTTTAGTGATAATGGAAGTTCATTTATCAAAAACTTAATTTTGAAAGTTTTTAGATCTTTTTATACAAATAAAGTTAAAATCTGTATATTATCACTATTATCAAAAAAAGAGCAAAGAAAGTAGGCCAGTTAATCAATAAATCTTTAGTAGCATGAATAAATAAAGAGTTTTTGTGAAGGTCCAAAAAAGCTGAGAATTAGATAATTGAATTATTATAACTGAAGTAATTTGTAACTCATCAAATGCTGTATAATTTAGATGAAGCTTTGAAAATCTTATTTTAGCCAGTATATCAACAATATCATTGTAGAAGTCTCCAGAATATCTTTTTACTTTGATTAATTTGACTTTTAATTAAAGATATTTCACATTTGTTATAACAAGTATATTTAGAAATTTTTTCTGATTTTATATAATTCAGATTAATTTTTTAATGATATGGTACTATCATATATTTATTAATTTATGTTATAAGAATTACAAATAAAAATAAAAGTAAAAATAATAAAAATAAAATTATGATTATTTTCTATAGCTATATTACAAACCTATTTAGATTGACCAATCACCAGATATCACTAATTAAAATAGTCCAAATTAGCTAAAAATCAGATAACTGATTTTAAGCTAATTTTGATATTATTTATAGCTAATTTGCCATTTTTTCTTATTAGTACAAATAGGTGCTAATCGACTTTAATCAAATATAACCATTCAGCATTAATTCAAAACTTAAATTCATTCATAAATTAGCCTAAAATTAACCTTAATTCAGTATCATTTTGTATTAATTCAGAACTTAAACAACCATAAATTATTCTAAAATTAACCTCAATTTAGCATTAGTTCAAAACTTAAATAACCATAAATCAGTCTAAATTGATTTTAATTTAGCATTATTCAGCATTAATTTGAAATTTAAATAACTATAAATCAGCCTAAATTGACCTCAATACAGCATCATTTGATGTCAATTCAAAATTTAAATAATCATAAATCAGCTTAAAATTAGCCTTAATTTGGTATTATAGATGCCTGCCGAAACCTTTTCA